TTACGAATAACTAACTGTATGTAAAACAGTAGAGAACTCTAAGGTTATTAACAGAGATCTAAATCGGGTCAATTATAATTCTCATGAGCCAAACGTATCGTACGGTAAATAGGTCTAGATTATGACCATGGTGTGCGTTACGAGATGGTACTATAAAAGGAGCTCGGGAACTCGTGAATCGATGTGGATATTATATTATCACGATTGAAGTACGTAATGTATATAGAAAAATAAAGTCCGTATTTATCTACTAAATCAAATGAAATATCGTATAAGCTAAAAATAAAATCGCACACCGTAAAAAAATAATAATAATAAAACAAATATAACCGTTAGACAATACTCATTGAGCCGATTCCTAATGTGTCGCAAATAAATGTTGTGATACGTAGAAACAAAGTATTGGTGCGTGTACTTGAAATGTGCGCTTATCGTAATCATATGCGAAATGAGTTGTTGTACATTTGAAAAACCTCTTCGATTCGGGACTGCGGTTGTCCTGGAGAAATACGTGAAATTATAAATATTCGTAGTCTAATATAATCATAATTATAACCGTTGCCAATTTTATGAAAACATAATTGATAGTGTGAGGTTTAACTTAAAAAAAAAAAAAAATACACCGCAAATCGTGTTTTCCCTCCCTCAAAAAATGGATAAGGCGTTTGGACATTGTAACGTCACGTCGCCTAAGGTACTATATGTGTATTTTATGTTAAATTTACATGCAAACGTATAAAAAAATGGAAAAATACGTTTTTACGTCGATAAATAATTTCTTATCAGAACGATACGAATTTCTGGAGGAGAGTAGAATTGACAGATTTACCCAGATTAAAAGCAATGATCTCTGCCGGCAATCCATGTCAAGTGTTCGCAGGTTTCTCCGACGACGTCGCAAGGTTGATGTAAATATGGCTCCAAAACGTGTGCGCGATTCATTGTTTCATCGGTAACAATATAAATATTTGATATCCTAGAACGGAAAACCCTCTGTCGCTTTCCCAAGTCTGCCCCGGCAACGTGATTTCGATGTTCGTATCGCTTTGCGATCGTCCTAATATCGCTTGCGTTGCCTACGAACAGTGGACGGAATGGTTTCACGATTTTTACGAGTACGGTTTATTTTGCAATAATATTTGATAACCGAAAAAACGCATGTGGCAATTCACCCGTGATCGGTGATTGCCGATTCCCGTCTTTGATTCGACCAAATCATTATATTACGTTTTGGTATTTAATCTGCTTAGTCTTGTTGACGTCCAGGCACACAACACGCTGTTTGTTCACGCGTTGCTGTTCCAACGTGTCGAGAGTTTGGTTTGTTTACGTGCGATGTTCGAAACGATTTACATTCAAATGCCCGAAATCAACCACGTAATACTTATCATAATGCCCGGAATGGAATTCGGTAAGCTTTAGTTATTGGTGTTAAAACATTCGTCGACGTGATAAAATATTATATTAAAAAAAAAAAAAAAAAAAAACCACTGTACATAAATATGTTAAATTCACTCTGCAATTAACGCCCAGATCAAACGGCTAGATCTAGAAACTTAACATTTCGGTGGTATATATCCTCTAATGGTGTAGGGACGACGTGAGAAAGTATTTTACCGCAATCATTCCCATGAATGATGATGAAAAGGGGTAAAAAGGCTTTTACGTTTTTATCGACATCTTTGGAATTTTATTTTTACTTTCAAAGGTTACCAAAAAACACTTAAATATCGACTTATAAAATGTACCCTAATCCATTCCTGAGAGGTCAAGAGTGGTAACAAACTGAAAGCAGTAAAGTAACTATACACTGAGTTGGACCGACTCGTAGAATTTAAAAACACGATAATGACCGCTAAATTTTTCACCGAAAACCGTTGACGTATGCATTGAGAATCAAGAAATGCGCACATTAAAATATTAAAATTACGGGAAAAAAAATGTGTATAGGCATCTTACATTTCGGATCACAATATGGTAACAATGAATACTAGCAATAGTAAAACACCGATGGTTCAGCCGGTAATGTAGAAATATGACTGCGTAATATTTTATAGCATTGTCGTGTGCGTTACAGCTGCGGAAATACGTTCATCGTTTCATTCGTTACCCGCCAAAAATGTCATCGAAGACCCGGTGTACGGACGTCCCGAGATCCTGTACCACACTAGACCGGTCATCACGAACGCAGTCCGTTTCCGAGCTACCATGTACACAATAATGCACCGTTGTAGAGTATACGTTTTACTATTCGCGCGAACATAATCGTCGGTTATTATAAGGGCTGTGAATTTAATGAACTAAAGAACTTTAAAAAATTCATTAAAAATGTCAAAAAATGTAATATATATGCAGTTTAAATACAAGAAATTCAATAAAATATGCACTTAGAATGCAGAAAAATTCAATATAAAATGCCAAAAATTATAGTATAAAATTCATTGAAAATGGTTTTGAATTTAATTTTTATATCCATAATAATATTAGATACAGGATATTAAATATCAGTACATCGCATGCATAAATAAATGTTTATTTCATAAAAAAAAAATTAATAAAAATGTTGATTGAATTTGAATTTTCTATACTTAATGCTATTCACCTGAAACATTTTTATAATTTTTTTTTTTTAGTATTTATTTGGTTAAAATAATAAAATAAACTTAAATATATTTATTTTTGGGTACCTTATTCATCTTTAATTTTTAGAATTTGATTAAAAATATAAAAAAATAAATAAAAAAAGGAAAATATGACCTAAAAAATTAAAAACGTCAAAAATTCAAAAAAATTTAAAACAAAAATTGCATAACTGGATTTGTAGTTACATTATTCAAATTATGTATTTACAAAGCTGCGTTTCACAACCACCAAAAAAAAAAAAATTCACTTCCTAAAAATTCACAGCCCTAGTTATTACGAACACTGTGTTCCGTTTTACAGAATAGACGACTTCATCGAATTGAGAGTAAACTTGGGCGATCGGTTAGATTTTCTAGACGCGATCTACGGCGAATACAGTTTGGCGAAAATACTAATGTGCCCCGGTAACGGACGCTTCAACTATGTCACGGCCGTAAGAATCATCTTGTCCATATTTCAACATCGCGCTTACGTCTCATCAACAGCCCATCCTTTTTCGAATTTCGATAATTTCTGTTCCGTTGTAACCCAAACTACGACATTTTAAAGAACAAAACCACCATTCATATGGCATTTGACATCGTGTTTTAGCAAACATATAAGGGATGGACTGGCAAGACGTCACTCCAGCCCATTCAACATCTTAAAAAACAAAATTTTCCATTATCATTTATTTGCACGTCACCCGTACGGATTTGTATGCTACGTTTCAACTCATAAATGTTCTAACTACTGAGTGGGCCGGCGAGACGTTAGCTCACCCACCACTCATTATATTTAAATTTTAAACTCGCGCCCCCAACAATCATAACAAAGTATTTATTAACTGTTAGACCGCGAAGGTGAACGGATTGATTACTATTAATACGTCTGTAAGCTATTCGTCGTTGAACAGTTCGTACGACCTACACGAATTCGACGGGTTAATCGTGGCAAAAGACCGCAGTACGAAGCCCAACAAAATGCCATTGCCGGAAGACCGCGAGACAATGGAAAATATGAATATCCCAATCAGTTCCAGAGTGATTACTAAGAACGTCAATAAGTAAACTATTCACTTTGTTATTTATCACACGATCCCATAAAAATGTGTTAAGTTTAGCGACAGTTTAAAAATATTTTCAACGAACCGCGTTATTTCAAGATCCCTATTTCCATCTATGGCTCATAATATGCATGATTTCTCGGTCATCAGTTTTAAATAAAGTGTATAGAAATGACGATTGTAGTGTCGACACAAATGTTATAATACTGAAGATATACTATACGCGTATTATAGTTTCTCTGATTATTATATTATGATAGATAATAATTAGGGCTCGAAACTTAATGCACTTAAAATGTACAAAATATGCATGCACTTATGCGCTTAAAAAAGTAAAAATATGCACTTATATTTTATTTTTGTATACAAAATTTTCATTTACACAAATATAATTTATAAAATCATAAATATAGAAAAAGCAAAGTAATAAAAATAATTCTGATTTGTAATTTTAAATCATAATTAAAAAAAAAAATAATAATAATAATAATAATAGATTAGGATTAAAAATGTTTTTTTAATAAAAAAAAAATTCCCTGGAAGAATGTTCAATAATTATTGAGTTATTTTCCTAGAAAAGTATTTATAGAAAATCAACGTATTTCGATAACAGCTGTTCCTTTTTGATACTTGTATAATATTTTATTTTAGACAAATCTAACTGTAGTTATAATTTATAAATACATATATATTATTTAATCGATAGGGGAAAACATTGTTTATAATGTCAAATGGAAATTTGAAAAATACGATACAAGAATATCAAGAAAGTTCTTTTAATATTAATGTATTTTATTTTTTTATTTTTCGAATTTTCATACTGAATCTTCAAAAATTATAAAATATGTTCTAAAAAATTGTAAAATTAAGAATTATGCTCTAAAATCTAAAAATCATTAAATATGAAAAAATATGCACTATAAACTTTTGATATGTTTTTCGTAATGTCTTGGAATGAATTTCTAGCTCACTTAGCAATAAATTCAATGGTGCAAAAAAAAATATGCTAGAGCAATAACTTCCGAGCCCTAATAATAATTATTAATATTTATTTTAATTTTTTTTTTTATCAACCGGTAATAGGTTGGTTTACAACGTTTAACTTTTTCCTCGATTTTATCATGATCTTCAGCAAGACTTTTTAATCTAGCGTAGTGTTAATTTCTGCATCTTTTTTTCAATTGAAATATGTACGAGTTTCTTAGTCTTTTAATATTATTATTATAATTAATATTATAATTTATCAAATTCTTTGATTTACCACCACAGCGAGTTGATTTTAACGTATCCATACAAGCGACTTCTCGACAGAATGGAGAGTATGAAACCTACTTGGCTGGTTCAAGACGATAGTTTTATCGACGAATCAAAGTCCACAGTGATGCGCGCAAATGAAAATGATTCCAAAGGAATATGTAAAAAAAAACCCGATAGTGAGTGTTTTTAAAATTAAATTTTTCATATAAATATTATAAATTTATACTACCAGTTATACAAACAATCCATTGAATGGTATTGCTACTTTTTGGTTTTTTTTTTTTTTATTTCGAATCAGTGGACGATTGTAAAACTGTAGGAAATTAATTTTTATAATACCCCAGATATTCAATCAATGTTTGTTTCATTTTCATATCAGTTCTGGTTACGAATTTCTTGAAGTTTCAAGATGAAACCTCTAATAGTGAATCATCATACTTGCACGACTCGTCGTCCAGTATATCTGAAGAGAAAATTGAAAACATAAAAATTAATTACGAAAAAACATGTTTTATGATAGAAATAATGTTGATTGACGAAAATGAAGAAAAAAAGTTATTATAATTTTTTTTTTTATGATAATTTTCTTCATATTAATTATTATTATGTTACCCACAGAGCTACGCGAGACTTTTTAATATCTTATTTCCACGAGTTTCCTCAATACGATTATTGTTTAGTAAATCTAAGTACGATGGTGACTCCTCCCGAGTTCAAGAAGACTTTTTGTGTGCGTATATTCATCATAATTATGTTTTTTTTTTTTTTTTTTTACTTATTGAAATATGCATTCTAGAAAGTCTTTTTGAAACCAAATCAATACAAGTCCATTGGACAACTGTACGCATTACATCGGTTGAGCCTGTTCGGGTGAGTATTATGTCCCACTATCTCTTGTTTTGCACTTGTTGATTGTTAAATATTGTTATTTTAGAAACATTACTTCTGCTGTGGTTACAAAAGAAAATTTGGAAATCGCGGAAGATCTGATCATAAACCATCCATTTGAAAAAATCTTATTAGATAATATTTCTAAATCCGTTTTCGAAGATACGAGATATAAAACTTACATTTTACAATGTGATGACCAACCAATTGGTTATTGCGTTATTCGGTAAACACTATTATCTGAGTTATAGTCTATTGAGTAATGATATATATTTTGGACTAAAAACTATAGTCCAGGGCACCGGAAGCAACAAAAACACGTTAAACGATTTTAATTTGAAACAGTCTTGTTTTTTAATAAAAAAAAATTAGACATTTAAATTATAATATTTTCAGTTTAGGTGATTTTTTGTAGTATATATAACAATATGATTATTATGCAATTTGTACGTGAGTAAAATGTAAATATGATCTATTGTAATATTTATCATTAATCGGCCATAGATAACAAGTCAAAAGCCTATGACTATTAATAATTATTATTAATAGTATTATTTTTATTGCTTTACATTGTTTCACTAAACGTTATTAAAGACTTAATTGGTTTATTTTGTTTTTTGATATCTATGCTCAACTACAATACAACTAATGCAACGAGTATAATATGTACGAGTAAGTCAAATCCTTGCGGCATACAAAATGTTCTCTGTTATTTAACTTTTATGATGATACGGTTATGCTGTGTTTATAATGTTGTGAAATAGTGTATGCTTATGAATGGTTATAAATATTTACACGGTATCATGTGTTGGCTCTTGTCTCAGCGTACGTATAATAGCGCTTTTAGATTTGCACGAAAATGTTAAGAATACCCGAGGTCGTACGCCACTTGCACGATAACAAAATATTATTTGAAAATAACTGTTGCGTTTGTGATATCCATAACATTTTACAATTGTTTATAGATTGTGTGACGAGATCACATTTTTAAATAGTCACTTCGACGTGGCTCGTTACGTATACCCCGAGTTGGCTCGTAATCATTCAGGGGTGTTGTTGAACATGGACATCCAAGCGAAATTTTTAAACAAGACACGTTGTTTGTTAAAGTCTATAATGGACGATAATGACATCAATTGTTTGTTTTATAAACTTTATTCGGATTCGATTATCATGGAACAAGTATGGTGACAATACTTATTACCAATACAATTACATTCTAGTTAGAAAATAGCATGTGAATATGGTAATTATTATTCGTAGAACGAATCGTCTTACATTTCTGGGATAAACGAACTGATACCAGTCAAACCTCGTACTCGTATCCAGTACGACGATGACGATTTGTCTGGTAATAACTTGGAAAAATTTGCTCTGTTCCATATGAACACGCGATTGTGTACAACTCAAAAATTGTCATTGGACGTTAAAATCGTCGTGGTCGGTGCATCTACAGTGGCCTTATCATTTTTAGAACGTCTTTTATTCAAGTAAGTACAACAAAATATCGTTGCAAAAGTTATAGAATATAAAATTTCAAAAGATTACTGTTACAATCGTAGGTGCGTACTTGACCCAACTACCGAGGCTTTCGTTACATTTTACTGTAACATGTTTTCTTCGCGTTAAAATCAAAATAAGTTTCAATTATATTTCGACCGTATATTCGTTTTTTTGAAGTATAATTTTCAGCGTAAAACAAAGTAATAAAAATAAAATATGTTGAACGCTGGAAACCGTGAGTTACGAATATTCCGAAAACTTTATACGATTGATTATGAAAGTATAAAAATTAAGGAGTGCAATTAAAGTCGTATGGGTTGTTCAAGTACACAATGTGTAAATATAGTGCTTTATGTTCCCTAGTGAAAAATGCTTCTATTATGAAGGTTGTACGTAGAATTTTTTTAAACGCACGTGTTACACCGACTACCATCATGTTGTACTATCATGTCGTAAACACAATACATTGTATTAATTAAATTAATAAAAACACAAAATTATATTGTATATTCAGCATTAATATTATTATTATTTTTACCTAGTCCTCTTAACCATTACCTGAGCTTCGAAAATATAGTACTCGTATCTGAGCATGGCATGCCATATCGAGTTGGTCTGACCGACTTGGAAGATTGCATGGTTCCGAAAGTTACGCATTACAACCACGAGTATATGAAAACTATAGCGCTTAATTCTTTCGTGAACGTCGTCACTGGCACAGTAACTGAAATCAGTAGGTTTGTGCGAAGTATTTGAGTATGTATATTGTTTTTATAATTTTAAAACTAGCCGAATACAGTTGACGAAAACGATACAACTACGATTTATAGTGTTTTTTCACTTCGTTATGATTTACGCGCACTGTTTGTACTTAAATCGAACTGTGAAATGGATATTCTAATTATAATCTGTGATATGTTTATAATTACTATCAATCGAACACGTTGGAATAACAGAATATTGATGATTTTTCAGATCCGAGAAACACGTAACGGTAAAAGAACACGGCACAAATATTTACTACGATTATTTGTTTCTGTTCAACGGTGAACAATTTACGCACAACATTGAGAACATCAAAACATTACCCGAAAAACGGAAGAAAAACAATCCTTCGCATAACTCCTCAATGTTTCGCAGGTAATTCGTTTACCGAGGCTTGTTTAATGATATTTCATTGCGTGTGTACGGACGGATGACAATAATTTCGTACAGATTGAACGACGAAAACGTTTCGCCGGAAAATCTGTTTTTATTAAACTCTGATCATGACGTCGTGTACGCCTGCAACTACATCAAATCGATGAAATCAAAAAATAATAATAAAGGTAATTTTGGATAGTTGGATAATAGAAATATAAGCACCGAGATGTCACGAGTGGACGGGTAGGACAACGTTTTCGATTCACTCACATTGACCCAGTGACGGTGCTAAAGTTAGGGGGAAAATAAATGTTGGGTCTTATAATTTATATTAATAAAATATTTTAAGTTCAGTTAAATCAGAACCGCGGTGCCTTAATTGTAATTCAAGGCGCGGAGCTCTGGGCAACCGCCCCTATTGGCAATTCCCTCGCGCCGTCCCTGCATTGACCATATATTTTGTACTTCATATTATTCTGTACGAAGTAAGGAATGGATTTGTGGTTTTATTTTAATTCCATTGTTTTGATTACATCATGATATGATAATACTATTTGAAACTTAAATCGATACGATTATGTTGATATCACGTACATTTTTAAACGCGTAGAATTTATTTATTTTTTTTTTTTCATTATACTGACCTCTGTTGAAGTGCACATTTTTCGTCAATTACTCTAGCCATCATCGTGTACGGAAAATATCTGGGATCACTGTCAGTGATTAATGTACTACTTGAGAGCAATATCGATGGACGTCGAATCGTTTACGTAGAACCCGGCGACAGAGTAAATCTTCCGTTTATTGACAATGCAACTGTAAGTGTAATTGGTAGTACATATCTGCGGAATCTTTAAAAAAAAAAAATGTATGTCATAACAATGTGTAATTTATCGTTGATAAAAGATAAAAAGAGCCGTTTACGATGAGCTGTACAGTCGAGGAGTGTCCGTACACGAAGGATTGCAATTTGAAACGTTGACACTGACCGACGATCAAATGAAAATACAGAATGTGTCGTTTAGCTCGAACGTAAAATCAATTACGATTGATTGTGCTGGTTTATTTTGGTTCGATCAGAAGAGTGTTAATAAAAACAACTGGAACCGTAAATTATTTTGCTATTAATAATTGTGGCGTTATTAAAATTTAATAATTTTTTTTTTCTATTGTCTTGTGGCGTTATGTGCCTGTAAACGGTGGTTTTATATTTTCATGTGAAAAAACGCTACAAGATTGCACATCATGAAATGTAAGTGTTATTATTTTAACTATTTTTAAACAACTCAATAACATTTGTATTAAAATTAATTACGAATGGTATGAAATGAAAAATTAAATATCCATACAAGAGTAATTGAAATTAACGAGACTGCAATTTTGTGTCAATTAATAAGTAGGTTATTTATACGATTACCAGTTTTATCGAATTATTTTATTTGTATTAGAAAAAATTATTAAAAAAAAAAAAAAAAATTACTCGTAGTTTTTTATCTGGAACATTTCCAACTATACGGAATTAATAAAAAACTATTGAAACAACGTACCTATATTTCATGGAGTGCAATAGTGTTGCGTTTTATTCATGAAAAAAGTATATAATCATGTAACGGCCATTGAGAGCCGAAGTTATAAAGACGTATAATAACAATATATAAGGGGCACCTATTACATTATGATGGTTGAATAAGGTAGATAAAAAATGAAAACGCGTTAATGAGATGTCTCAATACGGTTTAAAAAAAGTCCTAGGTGGTCCTATGTTGTTCTTTTATATTCCATTCTATGTCATAACAATATAAGTTAAAAAAATAACAACAACACACGGTTGATAAATTAATGTTGTTTTATTAGGAAATAAGATTTCTTTTCGTGTTTTACCACCCATATAATGTATATACCTACATATATTCCTATGTTTAAAAAATGTATAATTATAACACCTTTAATTGTGAATAAAACAATGTCCATTCAAGTAAATAAAAAATAAAAAATATCCGTAAAAAACATACATTAAAGTTTACCGCTTTTTAATGAAAAAAAATATATATACGTTTGTTTTAATCATTTTATCTACCGATGGAATATACAGAAACGTTTTTTAACAATCTATTCAGTTACCATAATAAATCTTAAAAAGTAGGTTTATTTTATTTAAGATTAAATAACTAATCCAACTAGAAAGCGTTTCGTTAAAAATTAAACAAAGAAAATTTGCTTGTTGATTTCTCAAATCCAAAAGATCACGCGTTGTATTTATATAGATAAGGTTGGGAAAGAACGGTATAGGTATTGAAAGACGTCTGTTAACTGTACGAGTTCGAGTTGGCAGCATGAAGTTGTACACGAAGTAAATGTCGATGTATTTACGTTTACTATCCGGAGATTCTAAATTAAGGTTCTCTTGAACATTTCAAATGTTGCTCATTAGGGGCTGGAGAATTTACCGTCGAAACTACGGCTTACGATTTTGACCACTAAACCCGTTACGGCGTATCGCTATTTAAGTAATTTTAACGAATTTACTCGGTAAACGATGAACGCTTGGAGTGTCGCGTTTGTTGTTTTTTATATCGAAATAATTACTTGGAGAAACAGAAACATTTAAAAAAAAAAAAAGGCGAACATTTAGATGTATTCGCAATTCGAGTTTCAACGCTCTGCCATTGCTACGCCTCGGTGTATAATAAATATTTAAAAAAGGTTTGACGGTCGGAGGACGCGCACGGGGTAGTTTGTCGGAGATGTGCCGCCGACGGGTTTTCGAAACGGATGCGTCGGAACGCATCCGAAGGCAGTGCTACAAATAGGGTTAACAAAAAACCGTTAACCATCAATATATCGTAATTTCGATACACTGCATACCCGATATTGATATTACCTCTATTATATCGATTTTATCGATGCGTTGGAAAATTTTTCCAATATTAATAAAGGTTTATAGACTTGAACATAGGACACACATAGGACGTAGGACAATATGTTATAATTTATTTGAATACAATTTATAACCGTAAGCCGTAACTTGTAAACGATACTTACTACAGGAACAATGACAAATAAATTGATTAATCGGAGCGTGTACATTTGACAAAATTATAAAATATTTTATAAAACCAGAACAATATTAATGAACTTAAACCGCAATTTTTATACATTGCAGTTCACGCCTAGAAAATTATAACGAAAACAATTTTATTTGTACTATTAGTACATTAATATTTATGCATAACATGGCAAATGATTTATAATAGTATATAATAATATCTATTGGCGATTTCCCGAAGATTAATCACGTTAAAATGTCGTTAGACACGATACTAATATCGAGACGATGTATCGGTAACGTTTTGTCGATGTAAAATGTCACGACATATCGACTTCGTGTATCGATACATCGTTGCCATCCCCAGGCGAAAAAGTTATTTTCATTTCGGTTCACCGTACGTGTTCCCAGTACTGTACGCGTTCGAGTTCGACGGTCATCTGGTGATCAACAGGTCGTTCGAAACGAACGTGGACTGCGTGTACGCGGCCGGCCCGGTGGCCAGGTACGACGGTCCGGAACGCGACGCGCGCCGTTGCGACAGCTCGGAGATCGGCGGCCGTGTGGCCGACGTGCTGATGAAACGTTTGCGCGCGCGCCACGACGACGACGACGACGACGGGACTGGCCGACGACCGCTGTCGGTCCGCTGCCGGTTGCCCGGCGGACACCGTTACCTCCGTTGCACCGAGCCCGGGACGTCGCGCCCTCGAACGGTTTTGCACACGGTCAAGACCGGAGACGCGGCCACGGGGTACTTCGAGATCGAGATGGACGGCGGCGGCCGCGTGACGGGCGTGTCTTGTTACTCGAAGGCGGTGAGTGCGACGTTTGCCGCGCACGTTTTCTTCCGTTCGAAAAGATATCGCGATGATCGATAGATCGATGAACGGTCTTATTTGTTCGGTGTTTTCGTAACGCGATCGGCATATTCCTAGCTACCGATCCCGGTCAACGGGGGGGTTCCGACCATGAGCACCCATGGTGGGGGGCAAGACGGGGCGTTTGCCCCGACCTGGAGTTGAACAGCTAATAACAAGGTTTGTAATTGAACGACTACGAAGTCTTCGGTTTTTATTTAGTAACGACTAAAGTGTGTATAACTCTGACATATTTTATTGCTTGCTAAGAATAGATTTTTTAACATACGTTTTGATGTTTGATTTTATTATGCCTCCCCCCCTTGATACATTTCTTGCGGGCGCCTATGGTTCCGACTAACCGGCAGGTAGAGGATGAACGGGACGAGAGACGGTCGGACGATAATATGGTTTTGCAGAAAACCCAAAACGTCACGTCAGACGTATCACACTCGTCGTCGTCCGGTACCCGCTCAAAATTAAAATGCATCTTTTTTCCCTAAACCACGGTTCGGCCGCCGTGATTGATTCAAAGTATAACCATGGTGAAAATCGCAGAGTCCACTGGCGATCGTTGAACTCGGTTGTATTCTTCGCTACTCGACCGAGTGTGATGACGTGGCGTGAAGTTTCGGACACGATTTGGCTTTAAGAGAATAAGACGTTTTCACGCCGGAAGAAATTATTCACTCATAGGATATCATGGTTTAGCAACTTTATATAAAATGGATTTTGCTTACGAAAATAATTCTCACGGGTTCCGATCACATGTAGACAACAAAGGATCAAGTCGGTCAGAAATAATTGAATGCGTATGAATGGAAATCAATACACGCACGTACTGGGAAATGTTTTCTTTCCATAACCGTACGCTAGTTATTCGTCTCGTAAGAAATAGTAAAATAACTGTTAATGTCACGATGATTAGGTTCACATTAGAATGGAAATCAATACACGCACGTACTGGGAAATGTTTTCTTTCCATAAACCGTACGCTAGTTATTCGTCTCGTAAGAAATAGTAAAATAACTGTTAATGTCACGATGATTAGGTTCACATTAGTTTATATACGAGTGTATATATATTGCAAAGGGAGTCGTGAGGTGACTTAATTTTTTTTACCTTTTTTGGAGGCTTCGAGATATTAAAAAGGTTCAGAAACGACGCGTTAGCTACAGATAATAGCAGAACATTGAACGACATAGTTGTAATTTGTGTTCACTATCATTATACCTGTTACGGAACGGAAGAATAATTGATCGTTAATAACGATTTGTCGGCGCAGGATTTCAAGTATTCGAACTTAATAAACCTGTGTGGAAAAAACGTAAACCTGTTCAACGATATGATGAATCGGCTGCGGACGGATTCCATTCCGTGTTTCTTCGACTTTTTCAACGAGCCGTGGGCTTACCCTTTGTACTCGGACAGATTTCCGAAGATATTGAACGACGTGATCAAACTCCGCGAAGCCAATCCCAACAATAAGGTAAGAAACAAAATAATGTCGACCTAGTCGTTCGTTTGTTATTGCCCTTGTACAACTCACTGTTTTTGTACACACGCATCGTAATAATATTGTAGAGTACCGGAAAGTTCTGCGGCGACGGCGTTGCAATGCCCGAGATCCATCAGGTGAGTTTACGTCGATTTCTCGCGTTTATCACTTACACGTGTCTTTATCTGCGTGTGCACGCAGGTGTACGACTTGTCCACGGTCGCCGGTTTCGACACGGAAGAGTTGGAAAAAGTGTTGATAACCTTTGTCGACGAAAACGTGGACGATTTTCCCGAGTTCGCTCATGTACGCGATGCGGTGGACCTAGCGAATTCCGGGCAACACCACTATTAGTAATCCTATAATAAATATATCGTGTGCATACGTTTTGATGTGACATGAAATCATTGACTATTGTTGATATGCTATCGCGATATACGGCTGAAAATGAGTTCTAGAACATTTAAATTGGTTATTATTTTGTGCATAGTCTCCGGCTATATCCATCGATAAAATATAGGTTCGTATAAAGTCTATTGATGTATACAAAGGTAAAAGTAACATTTAATTTTATACGTGCGCAGTGGCGTACATACGGGGAGGGGGGGGGTGTTCCGTGTTCAATTCCCCTCCAGGGCAAAAAAAAAGAAAATTGTTTTATTATTGATGACGTGTAATGTATTCGTAGTTTCACTTTTACGCTTTGAACTTAAAATATACTAATTATACAAATATTATAATAATTAAATAATTATATTGATAGGTATTTGTAAAATTTTGTTAACTATGCTGTTTTTATATTCCAATAGCTATTAATTTACTGTAATGTACCTAAAAGTAAACTGTAAATTGGTAAAAAAATTGTATAAAATAATATCTATTTATAGCAGTTATTTATCTGAGCATGAAAAAAAGGAAAGATAACGATTATTTTGTTAACCCCCTCCTCTTCTGAGCAAGATTGAATATTTGCCACTGTACGTGCGAGACGTTTTTCTTTAAATGCTTGAAAAGTACGCGGACGAGAAGTGCGTCAATCCATCCGCGGTACGGTTTAAGAAATTATACTAGTTTTTCGCATCACGTTAGTAGATAAGTGTAACGATTCTATTATTCAGATCTGTGCGCAGTTTTTACCATGACAGGTAGTATATAGTTCTCAGGGTGGTTAGCGGCAGTGGCGTAGTATAGGTATCGGCTGCTCGGGGTGAAAGATAATTTTGCCGCCCTCTTAATTAGGCATTTCAATTTAATGTATACTATGCATTATATACATTAATTCTAGAGAACTTTTCGGAAAGAACAGTCATCATTATTTTGAATTACACAAGGTTAAATTTTAAATAAAAAAGTTTATTTGTTTTACAATGACGTTTATTAATACAATAATTTTTACTTCAACCATTGATAGAACAGGTACAAAGGCATAGAGGCATCTAGGAGGGGAGGAGGATTAGGAGGCTAGGAAGGTTGACTAAGAGGATTAGCCCCCCGTAAATATTCCATGTTATACATGGCATACTTAACTTACAATAGTGTCACATACAAAAAACACATTGCAGTAAATCAACTAAAGTACCTATATTAACATGGTATATAAGAGTAGGGGTGTTCTATAGATTATTTTGATAGGAGGGCTGTAGCCCCCCCCTAACTATTTTACCTTAGTTGCGCCTATGTACAAATGTATTATTTAATCATGCGATCGTCGAGATGAACTCTAATTTTAAGTAGGTAATAGAATCTACTTATAGATACTTATACTTATTATAACTATCTTATTCCGCCCCTATTTTTTTTTATTCTTTTCATTTTTGATGCTAAAATAAAAAAAAATTGTAATGATAAAAGTTAGAGTTACAAAAGGAACTATCGAACATTTCAAAAACTAAGTATATTTTACACTACATCTATCTATAGGCAAAAATCTAAAAACCATAAATATTTGTTCGGAACCCTGGGTATGCAAGTGTAAAACTCGTACATGGCCGGATTTTAATAAATTAAAGCTTGAACAACATATCAGACAGTCTAACATACAATTACATAAATAAAATAATTAACACTCACACAGTTGAATGTAGGTAAACGTTGCGGAAAATTCAAATTTTCACAAAGTTATCCAATAATTTCATAACCACTACACGTACTTATTTGCACAAAAATCACAGTTACGAAATAGTGTGAACTAAACAACTGAAGATCCATGAATAAAACTTTCTTTGAATTGTCAAAGCATTACATACTTTCTTAAAGGGATGTAATAAACAATATTAAAATTAATATATATATAATAAAAGTCATTCTCACTGATTATAATTTATAAAAAATCCAAGCACAAAATATCATTCAAAGAAAGGGAATTCCCGAATCCGTCACAGAATTAGGAATGAAAAATTCCGTGCTCTTTTCATTCGGTTTGAATTTATTTATTTGCTTATTATTACTTCAAAAATTGCTCGGTCAAGTAGTTAGGGGACCTCAACTCTCTCCCTTTCTCTGATCTCAAACACTACGTTTATATTATACATATTTTTCAACAAATATCAGTATTATTCGAACCGTATAAACTGCAGACCGTACAGAATGAACGAAAACCGGACGTAAACTGTAGTTCACGGAATCCTAGAGTCAGAGCCGTAACTAGGGTGAAGCGAACGAGTCACTTGTCTTGGGTGCATGAAGCTGGGTAGGGGGGGGGGCGCAGAAATATTAAATAACTAACTTATTTTAAGAAATGTTATTTCTTGTTTTGCTAGAAACCTAATTAAAATTTTTCAGATTTTTCCGAATCGTATTATACATATTAAAACCTGTGAGTGTGACAACTCTAAAATCTAGGGGGCGCATTGCTTCAGTTCTGTCTTAGGATAAAAAATGGTTCGGTCCGGTTCTGCCTAGAGTACAAATGTTGCAATTCCACGTAGTATTTTATAATATTATTAGTAATATAGTAGTGACAGCAACGACTTGTTATCATAATAATAATATATACCGACGGTTATGTGCAGACGTCCGTTTGCGATTCGCCCAACACGAAACGGTCCGCGCGAGATCATTACGAAAACCGGGCGCTAGTAAATTAGACGATTCAACCGTATACACCACAGGGCGGCGCAACACGACACTATATAAGTTATACGATTGGTAATACCGCATTAACTGTTGGTGCATTCTGATTATGTGTACATTATTGTTATTGTACATCGCCGACGAGATGTTTACCGCCCGTTGAGTCGTAATCGCCCCGCCGACGATGTTGAATCGCGTAAAACGCGATTTGAATAGTCGAAAAAACGACGGCGTGCGTGGCAAAACAAACATTCGGTCGGTTTGCAATACGTGTGCAATCCGTATTATTGAACACGATCGTCAACGGTGTTTGTGTGCGCTCTCGGAATTCGGTTTTGATCGCATTTCGTATGTTATGCATGTGATATTACAATTCATCACGGTTGTATAGTACACATACGAGTGTCGCATTCACCTGACATTGAACATAAAACATGTAAGATACATTGTTTTTGAACGTTGACAAATCATTTTTAGAGAAATCGGCTACACATCTAACACGAAATTTAGATTTTATTGTTAAAAGATCTTAATCGTCATATACGATTTTACCGCGTCGTTTTGTTCATTTTAATAAATCAAAAACAATTTGTACAATGACAAGAACGTGTTGGCAGGGAGGTCGATATTCAATTAATGGTTGGTTAATTATGCCCAGTTTTAAGTTCACTCGTACAGTCACGAAATATCCTTATAGGATATTTCACACTTCAACATTTTAAAGAATATGTTTGATAATGAGTTAGTTATATCTAACAATAAAAAATGGTTTTTATCGGATATATATTTGCTATGTGGTGCTTTTTTTACCACACAAGCGGGAGCCACATGCCCTTAAGCTTAGATCTATGATATCAATGATATTAGATCTATGAGCTTAAGCTATGATCTCAGCAGCCGAAGCTGTACCGGAAAAAAAAAGACATATTTACCGTCTATAATTTTAGAATCTATACGGACAAACATACGAAACGTTGATCCTACGAACTCGGGTGTCGATTTAAACGTTTTAGTTGCAAGTTATACGCTTCATTCCAGGAGAAAACAACAGGGACGACCATAATTATACATGTATGCGCAGATGTACTCGTTGTTAGACGTTGTCGTCGTGGGACGCACACAGTACGTAGAAAATCAGAAATACGAACACGAACTTTTACACCGATACGTTGCTCCGCGAGAGATGCTGCACCGTTCTCGTCACGGTGTACAATATTGTAATGTAATATATTTTGGCGGGTTCGACTGTTACGAGTGCTGCCGTTTGGACCGGTAGTAAATAATAACACTGGTAGTAGTGATAGTAGTCGTTGTATAGTAGCCGCGTAGTTTATTTGTTCGTTTCGATTGTTGTGTAGTATATCGCGTGTCCGGTCGGTACAACACACGCGCATATGATATAGGTTTTTGTTCCTCGGGGACACAACACAATGATAATAAATAAATAAAATGCGTTTCGTTATTTATAGAGGTAATAGATCGTTTTTTTTTTTCGTTTCTGTATTATAAACGTACGGCATAATAATATCACGTATAGGTTAAATGTGCATTCGATTATAATATTGTTTTTTTTCTTCTCAAGTTCTGACCGAACTGGGCTCCTCGGGCGACGAAATCGGCCGTTTGGTTCGCATGATACGCGTCCGGCGCGGAACAACAACAAAAAGAAAAAGCCGACGCATCGTATAACACGATGCCTAACTGGCTAAACTGCGTGTTTCCCGGACCGCTCCGGGAGTTCAGCACTAATATTACAATCGTATACGCATGATTATGATTGCGGTGTACATGGTATATACCAATCCGAGGTGACCGAACTGACTCGGCAAGCGGAGAAATTTCGACTTGTAGTTGGCATTTTTTTTTTTTAATTTCGCTGTGATTTTTTGGACCGGTACATATTCAATAGTTAATGTAAGACTAGGTATATAGTTATAGGTTATCTAAATAAACGTTTTTATGTTTGTGAAAACATTTAAAATGAAAGAGAAATTATTGTGTTCATTCTACTTAAAAAAAAAACCAGACTTACTACAAATTTATACGTCCACTCTGTATGCAAATATTAAAATCTATGTTATCCATTTTTTTTTTTATATAAAAAACAATTATTGGCGAGCAAGTATTTTAATTCTTGGATACAGAGTAGTAAACTTGTTGAAAGTCTGTCTTTTAAAATAAGATGAACCCAATATTTTCTATTTCTCTGCCTACTACTGTTACAGAAGTATCGAAATTTAATATATCACTATCAAATTAAATTTATCTTAAAAATTAATATAATAGGTATACGTGAAAAAAATTGAAGGACTACTTACAAAACTACATAAGTTATACCATTTTGAAAATAAAAACCAAGTCAAAATCTCCTGAAAAGTACGAAATGTGTCACTTAGAATACATTCGTATTTAAGTAGTTCAGAAAAAAGGAATACACTTTTCATTTCTATTTTTGTAAAATTTACCATAATGTTCAATAACTTGTCATCATACAAAATAAGCTTTTGATATTTTAATTCGATTTATTTTTGGCTTACTAAAAAGGCCCCTAAGTTCCGAGTGCCCATGAACCCTGCATTGTCTAAGACGGCCCTATATATTCTCAAAAGTGTTGGACGACTATTTTCTGTGACTGTCACAAAGTCTACATGTTTTAATGCCGTATGGTTGGGATTTCAATAGGGGTTCTTTTTTTCTGAAGTAAAATCGTTTATGTAATCGTATATGCTACGAATTGGTACAATTCGACGTACACATGTTTCCCAACATATCATATAATAGCGAGTTTAGTTCTAGTAAGTTAACAAAATCGATTATTGGTGCCACCTTGTTTGAATCGAATGAGATCACTGTTATTAATAAGAATCTAGAATCCGAGATTGTCAGACAGTGTTTTATTTTATTGGGATTTGCACCGAGAGACTGCGAACATCGAGTCTTAACGATGCGATACATAGTACACGTATAACTGCATATGAGCATTCCGCTTGGAGGTTTTATTTTAATTTTTAATCACTTAATCCTTCAAATAAAATCGTATTTACTTTATGCGTTCGATACACGCACGTGTAAT